GGCCGGTTCGGGGCGCGGGGCGGCGGGGGGGGGTCGGGACCCTGGGAGGGCGGCAGGGCGAGAGGGGGGGCTCGGGGACTGCGGGGCGGGCCGCCCGCCCGGGGGCGTCCTCGGGCTGGAGTCCGGCCGGGGTTCTCCGTCCTCGGGACCGCTGCGCGCTCCGTGTCCTCTCGTGGGCAGTGCTGGCCGCAGCATCCCAGGCCCCACGTTGCAGCCTTTTTAGACGACGAGGACGAAGGCGGTGGTGAAAACAGCGCCCATGTCCCGGGCGCTCAAATTTGTGAAACACACGCTTTTCTGGGTCCCAGTCGTGGTTGCTCGCACGGAAGCCTTTCAGGTCTTTTGGCCAAAATCAGCTTATACCATGTAGGATCGTTTCCTGAAGGTTCTTAATGGAGCCGCTTGAAAAGTATGTTGTATTGATTTTGAGAGAGAGAGAGAGAAGCATCGACGTGAGAAGGAAACATGGGTGGGTTGCCGCCCATAGGCACCCCGACGTGGGGCCGGGGGTGAGGCTAACTGCAACCTGGATGGACAGGAATCGAACCCCGTAACCCTTTGGGGCCCGGGAGGGCGCTCCACCCACTGAGCCACCCGGTCAGGGCTGCATCGAGCCACTTTTAAAATTTAAATTTGTTTGAAACGTTTAAGCCTGTCATAAACGTCGGTTCACTTGTCATGTGCAGAAAGTTATGATGAGAAGTTAATATATTTAAAGTGAAGACAGGTCCTTGCTCATGATTCCGGCCAGGTCTCCCTGTCTCAGGCTCTGCGATAGAGTCCCTTCGTGAAGCGAGGAACATCGGGGTTCACAGTTGGTCAACGAGGGGCGTCAGTCGCTCCTGGGAGCAGTGGGCCGTTTCTAACAGGAATCGGAGAGAGTCGCTTGCTCCTCGGTGCCCGCTGTCATCGAAGATCACGCAGTGCCCCCTCACCACCACCACCACCCCCAGGCCCCGCTCCCGTCGTCTGCATCGCCTGCGCCCGCGGGGGCCACCCCTGAGGTAGGGCCTCTTTTCTCACTGGGTCTGTGAGGGGGACACGGCCCGGAGGAAAGGGCAGGGACTGGTCCCAGGACTCAGCCTCCAGCTCAGGGCTTCCCTGGCTCCGCTCCCACGAGCTGCAGGCTCCCCCGATGGTGGTTGGTGACCAATTTGTTGGGGTACGGGAGGGGGTGCTGCCCACCTCGGGGGGGGCTGTGGTGACAGCCAGGAGAGAGAGCAGAGGGAGGATGCTCCCTGACCCGAGAGCTCCATGAAATGTAGGCTCTGCTTTTTAAAATTGATTTCAGAGAGGAAGGGAGAGGGAGAGAGAGAGAAACATCAATGATGAGAGGGAATCATGGATCGGCTGCCTCCTGCACGCCCCCTACTGGGGATCGAGCCTGCAACCTGGGCCTCGGCCCTGACCAGGAATCGAACCCAGGACCCGTCAGTCCGCAGGTTGACACTCTATCCACTGAGCTACACCGGCCAGGGCTAGGCTTTGCTCTCTTAAATGTTGAGGGTTACCAGGGAGTTGACGGCATCCCCAGATGAGGTGGTGGCAAGAGGAGGCAGCACGATAATGGTGTTAAGAGCACTGATGGGACATCGGAGAGTAGAAGGGAGGGAGGACGAGGAGGGAGAGCAAGGCGAGAGAGAGAGGAAGAGAGAGAGAGAAACATTGATGTGAGAGAGAAACATCCATCAGTTGCCTCCCATACACACACCGACCAGGACCCGAACCCACAGCCTTTTGGTGTATGGGATGATGCTCCAACCAGCAGAGCGACCCCGCTAGGGCTGAAGGGTTGAGTCTTTTCTTGAGTTACCGAGGGTGTGAATGACCACAACTGCTCGTTAGACTTAAGTTTTCTGATCCAGGAAAATCCAAAAGCTTTCTCCTCTTAACAGGTCTCTGCTGTTTCTTCCTGACCTCACCAAACAGCCATGTCATCAGAGTCGAGCAAGAAGCGGAAGCCCAAAGTGATCCGAAGTGATGGGGCTCCAGTGGAAGGGAAGCGGAATCGTTCTGACCCCGAGCAGGTGGGGTGCACCGGGCGGCTGGGCTGCTGAGGGAGGACAGCTTGGTGCTGGGCACCTGGGCGG